GGAAATATGTGGACACAGCAACCTGACCATAAATAACAGGTTTATTGGGATAGTCACATGGTCCCCGACACAAAACGAGAGTAAAATAGCAAGGCGTACATAGCTTCACCATGTCTACAAGAAAACAAATGTATAAGGCAAGACAGTTACACGCAAACCCACAGATAGTAAACACGCAAGATCATTGATTCAATGCTTGCAGCAAACTGGAGTGTGAATGAGTATTTAATAGTTACATGCACAGCATTCTGGCAGGGCAAGTCATTAGCAGAAAACGTTGCTGTCATAAACCCATGCTATATTACCACCAAACTTGAAATTTCTTGCCGATGAAAAAATCACTCCCTCAGCTAGCAGACCTGATGGCAGTTTCTAAGTAAATAACTGTAATTGCACAAACTGAACGCAACTTCATTGCACAGTTCGGAGTTTTCAAATACAGAAAAAGCTTCGTTCACCTTACACAAAACACCTTTGTTAAAACCAATGTTCATTATTGGTGTTATGTTACTTTTTGTTACTCATTGATACTGGCAATAAACATTCTGGTTTTATTATGTTAACTACTGTAATTAAGTACATCCATGTTACACCAAGGTTCAAATACGTGGCATGTTTGGCAAGAAGGCTGCGCACAGCATGAGTATGAGGACGAAAACATCACATAAACAATTGCACGATGTTTTAGTCGTTTAAGGCACTTTAAGGCAAACACGATGCTACAGTTTGAAATGAGTACACACAACATGCACCAGCATTTACAGAATGCAACAGTGATAAAAGTGTTCACCACACCCCATGAGTTTGTTGTGTACTGGCTCAAGGAAGTGTTAAGAGGAGCAACAAAATGTGAGTAGGAGGCACTAATAAACAATAAATATAAGCCACCACTACAGCAATATTAATAAATATACGTCGCTTCCCAAAGCTCGTCGATAACAATCAACACAGAACACGGCACAACACACCTCACAACACAGTTAACTAGACTTTGATGTAGGAATGCACAGAATTGAGTAGAAGTTGTGTAAAATTGTGTGCTAGGGGAAACACTCATGCAGGCCTCGTATCATGTACAAAAACTGCCCAAATATGTTATCACAGCTTAAGCGAAACACTCCCAAGCAGGAATACTAAAGAGAAACCAGAATTTCCCACATAAAATTCATGTTAGTGAAGTTAAAATAAAAAATCCTCACTGTAGCTGCCTGTCGACACATCCGTATAAACAGGAACACTCACTCACGACCCCAAACCTAAATGTGCAACATTTAAAATCATCGTCCGCAAAGCAGCAGCTAAGAATATCAACCTCAGATTTGAATAGCAGTGTCATACAAAAACATATGCCCAACAGGATTATGGGTATAAATTATCACAACACTGAAAACACAATACCAGACATAAAAGTACATAACAATCATACTTCAGAAAAAAAAAAACACTGGAAAAAAAGAATACTGTAAAGTAAGCCACATAAAACGCACACAGACAATGACCACAGGCAGAATTGCCCACAAGGAGAATGCGAACGCTTCCATTTTTTTCAAATAATGAAAAGCAATATGTTTTAAAAACATCATTGCCAGAATAAAGAATAACTTGACACTGAATTCATAGCTTTCTAAGAGCATCAACATGTATAACCAGTATGGAAAGCTAGATCACTGGCCAGCAGTGCAATATACATATGCACTGATAGTTTAGAACATATTATCAGTTGATTTATTCATCAGGTAACATACGAAACAGCTAGTGAATTTGGATACTAGCAATGTCATAATCTAGTGATAATTTACCTTGTAAGCCCTGTTTATGGGATCTGCTATAAAAGACAAGTTCGAAATGAAGCTTCTCATTCAACGCAGAAATTTCACAACACTTCTAGACATAACAGCTACATTCTAGTAAAGTATTGTAACGAGTACCGAAGGTAAATATTATACCTCCATGCATAGCTGCCAAGTTGAAGGGTTTCGAACACGGGAGATTTACAGAAGATATTAGAAAACGGTAGTCCTGTTTTCAATATGCGCGTGCTAACGACTCACGTGCCTTTGAAATTGAGTCATTTTTCGCTGCCTATGATTGCATATGCCATGGTTTTGTCCGAAAGTTGTGGAAAGCAACACCGCTATTCGTCAAGCATTAGATGCGCGCGCCCTTTCGGAGTTTTCTCTGCTACATCGTTGCCACACATGATCGTGTCAAGAGCGACCGCGGTTTCATCCAACGGTTGTGAAAAACGACAACCACACTCACCACAGAAGACAGTGCGCTAGCCACCCGCATACTTCAGAAGCTTCGAGTATGCTGCTCTCAGCCTTCGTTCAACGGTTTCAGTACTGAAGTTTATACGACCCGCCGCGGAGAGGAAAAGTGTTCGGAACATCTGAATTCGGGCCCAAGGGGCATACTGGAATTTTGCTGCGAAATTTAATGAATTTGTGTCTGCCAGTTTCGCATCATTGAGATTCTACTGTACATTCAGATCAAGGTTTCTCAAGCATGTTGGTGCCAGGAAACCCTGCTGAGCTACATTAAGTACTAAGGAACCCCCCTCCCCACCCCACTCGTGGGTGGGAGTCCTTGTGCAATCCTTTTTACTTTTATTTTTTTTTTACTTTCCGCTTAACTAGCGGCACCTATCTTCAAATAGCCAAAATGCACATGGTGGTATTATCAGGCGCCCGATATTTAAGTCACCACGTGTCCCTTTTTTGAGTCTGGCTGGCTACAAACTGCTGGCGGGATTTATTGGACAGCTCCCGCGTTTCTGTTATGCACTGAGATGTGCTCGTTGACACTCGGGCATGAATAATGGAGGTTCCCTGGATCGATCACACCTAGAGATTGCCATACGAGTGAGTTGGGCAAGTACGGAACCAGAGAAAACTTATAAGTGGCTCGAGGAAACCCCGAGGAGGGGCCTGAGAAACTCTTAGATTCCGCGGAACCAATTGAGAACCCCTGGTCAAGATGAATGTCTCTTAAATTCGTTTACAATAAAATGCGATGGGTTTGCAGAAAGCCTGGATCAGATTTGGCAGCATTTTTGCTGAAGCGGCCAGATCATGCACAATAATTTCGATTCCTGGAAGATTTTCTTGACAACCATACAATCGTAAGAACTGGTCAAAACCCAGAAGACTATGTGCAGCTTGGAGCCTGCCAAACCTCTCGCGCTATGGCTAGTTTTCATAAAAGTTTAGTAAGGGTGTGTGAATATTTGAGCTTCAAATCAAAATGAATTATACCTAATCGAATAATTCGGTTCTACTTTCGAAAAGCTAGTATTCATAATTTTGAATCACTCAGCAGGACAAACATCTAAAACACAACAAATGCTAATGGTGCAACATTGTTAGGGTGGTGTGCGAAATCTAACGTCGTAACAAGAGGCCTTTCATTACACCTTTCACGGATATTCTCATTCAAAAGTTAGCGCGTGTTCATTTTGAAGGAGATTGTCCTTTCCGCGAGTCATGGCTCCAGCAAGAAAAGCCAGGGAACAGTGTGGGAGGCTGTGGAATTGATAAAATAGCTTTAAGGCAGAGAGTCATGCTAGAAAATTCAGTGCTTATGCTAATGCATTAACCTGGCCCAACTATGGAATAAGTATGACGGGTGTTGTCACGCATGTACTCAGGGCAACACTTTTGGTCTGGCAGACACAACAAAATCGAGAAGCCGTAAAAGTGGGGCCTTATGTCTGATGATTCCAATTACGACGTGTTCTCAAGAACCCTTGCACGAAAGATCACTTGATGAGGGACATCCTTTTGATGTCAGACACATTTCAGATATCTAACGAAAGATGTTATGGGACTGCTTTAATTGAGAAAAGAGGAGCGTGGTAGCAAAAGCTACAATTTTTGGATGACCTTCCTTTTGTCTTGTAAGTTAAAAAGTTATAGTAAAAACGACCTTCTGAAACTTGCGCGCTGCTCTATTGTGAGAGTAGTATTCCAAATTGAAAGCTCACCTAAAATATAGATGACAAGAAACGATGTTTACACCACTAAGCTTGTTTCACGCAAAACAGTTCACTATGCTATTATATGAAACAGAAAAAGAGTCAATTATTCTGACTCAGATAATGTCACTACATCTTATGCATGCTCATGAGTTACGGAAAAAAAAAACAACTTGAGGCCATTTGTTTATTTACCCGTACTGCCTCTAAATCCAGGTTTCTTTTTTATATCCATCAGAAGAACAAGAAAGAAAGAGAGAAACAGAACGACACTGGCATCAGTTAACAGGTAAAAAGTAAACATGATGGGATGAAGAGTAGCATAAAAACAATTTTAAAAAAAACACAAATTCTTGTTATGTTTGTGTTCACTACTTCTGTCTTAACCAGCTCTTTTAGCTTTCCAACTTAATGCTATCTGCTTGTCATATCAGGCATTACAAGTGTAATTCGCCCATTTCTGCTATTTATAAGCTTACTACTGATGCAATTCACCCCATTATAAAATGAAGATCATAAACACTAGCAGACAACCAGAAAAAAGTTATTCTAGTTTATAAAAGTTACATTAACAAAAGAGTTATGTTTCAACATAGTTTCATCCCTTAGAAATGAGCATTAGTGTTGTGTACGTTATCCTAATGGCTAAAATGAAAAACTATATCAGAGTAATGACATTAGCAACTTATTGGAATGTGATTTTTTTTCTTTGTTATCTTTACCATCACAGAGTTGACATAATAAATGAAACAACTGTAAACTTGTGAGTTGGCAAGCTGAGGAATGATAATATCTCCTATACTTGTTTACCATCACCAGACACCAATGCAACATAGATAGTACCTGACTGCATCTGCATTGATACGTGGGGCCTAATGTCCCAAAACTGCCATATGATTATGAGAGACGCCATAGTAGAGGGCTCCGGAAATTTCAACCACCTGAGGTTCTTTAACGTGCACCCAAATTTGAGCACACAGGTCTACAGCATTTTTGCCTCCATCGAAAATGCAGTCGCCGCAGCCAGGATTCGATCCCATGACCTGCCGGTCAGCAACCGAGTACCTTAGCCACTCAACCACACCGGCAGGGCGACTGCATCTGCAGACTGGATATTTCCCCCAAGAACTACACCCACAAATGGCTAGCCCAAATTGCAAATACAGAAAAGCAAGCCCACTTACTACATCACCTGCTTACAAAGAGTTCCGAGGGAATTAGTAAGAATGAATCATCACAGAATCTGTTGTTTCAGGTGTAACTTCAATATAACAGCACAGACAACTTATCACATTTGCATGTCCAATCAAATGGGAAAACAGATTATGCTTAATGAGATTCCCTAAGTGCCACTCAAGTAAATGCACAAAAGAGCAGCGCCTTTTTGTTGCAACCCCAAGGAGTCAAGGATATGTGAGGTAATGATGGTTTGTTTTAGTAATGCCTCTTTATGTGAAGGTATGAGTAACTCAGTGCAAAGGAAGCAACAATATACCTCCCTTTTGTCAACTATTTCGATCCTTTTGCCATGCTTGTAAATGCACACGTTCCCCTGTCATGTCAAGCACATGTCCGAGGTAAACACCTACAAGTTCATGCTAGATTCTGAAGCAGGAAAAGAAAGTTTACATTCGCACAGAAATGTTACTTGGGTCAGCTCCTGCGTGCAGTCCCACAACACATCAACAAAGGCAGATGAGCAACAGTAGACTACAACAGACAAATGCTATGAATACACTATGTCTTCACTGGGATATCAACCACATGGTGTGAACAGTTAGTATGACCTAGACCATTCAACATACCCTAACAAAGGACTTGTATCAGGGCTACATGAGGTTAGTTGTACAACGAAAGAGAGAGAAACCTGTGATTACTGGCATCCATTTACACCATTAAGGTCAATGATACAAGTTTCCACATTCCCGGCACTGGAAACCTGAAAAGAACCACACTTCTGGCTTCCTTGATAGGCAATACTTAAAGGAAAACAAGTTGAGTAACTGGCACGGTACATGCACTGGCAACTGTTCGATCAGGTGTGCAATGCACGCTCCAGCAGCCATCGGTTTGCCTCGTTCTTTGTAGACTCAAAAATACAGCTCAAGCAAACGGCAGGCACAGAAACAAAGCAGAAGGCAGGAAGAGAGAAAAAGTTACGGATATGCCCGGTTTTTTGTGCTGAGTAAACCTAGCCATTGTCTGCGCTTGCCTTCACTGCACCTTTAGGTGTACGGTCATGTTTCGACCCGTGCGTGCGAGCAGCTTCTCGGAAAGTGGCGAGCTCACTTCGAGCCAGGTGTATCCCGGCGTCAGTGCCACCTCCTCGACAGAGGCCTTGCACGACACAAGCAGGCAGAGGCACATGCCGTCATGTTCTCCTCCCCCTGCAGTTCCGTCGTGCTCTAATGAGAGCACGCCAAGCGGCTTGTGGGGTGGTGGCTCTGAACTGAACATGTTCTGTAAGGTATTATTATTATTATTTGACTTGAAAACATACAAACACGTACAACTGACAAAGATGAAAGAAAAGAAGAGGGAGGGGGCAAAGAACTGCCAACAAGTGGGGCACAACACCTGCCCTTTGGGATTAGAAGCTCAAGATATTGCCACAAGAATATGAAAGGGGGAGCAAAGAGGAAACAAATAACCAAATAACAGGCCATAATGACAGGCCACAAACACAAGAGAAATGTAGTAAGAGAACGGACACACTTAGCAACAACGAAAAGTTAAAAAAAAGGATGAACATGTTCTACAAATAAGAGGCCGAAGCCAGTTTAGTGAACGAAATGTTAGGCCACAATGAGTCAGGCCGCATCAAGAGGCAGATCCATATAGAAACAAACAATACAAACCACACACTTAGTCACTTAGCTTGTCACTTAGCACTTAGTCACTTAGCATGTTTGTGGTCCGGGCTAGACCGCACAAGGAGGTACCGGGAGACCTTGTCTCTGTACAGCCTCCCTGGCCTGCTGGATAGCCCATTTTTAGTCTTGAACCTCCGAGCTGAGCAGCACAAGCCGCCACTGCTCCCGGAGGACCTCAGAACTTGTTGATAAGTTGGGGCATTCCCATAATATATGTTTGTAAGACGCCTTTTCTGTTACACATAGCTTTCATTTATTGTCCGGGTATAAGTGTGGGTAGCTCCTGTAGAGGTGCACAGGGTTCGTGTAGCAGTTCGTCTGTAGCTGTCAGTATTCTGATGCTTCTTGCCTGTTTAGACTCGGATGAGGTGCGGAAAAAACGCGCCTTGCTTCTCTGTCATGTCGCATGTATTCTGTGTATCTTGTAAATCGGTCTTTGTGTGGTACGTCGGCGGTGCCAGGGATGATCGCCGAGCAGTGTGGTCGGGTTGCGCGGCGGGTTAATTCTCGCAACAACTCATGAGCCAGCTAGTTAGGATTGGGTGTATCAGACTCTGTGTGCGCCAGGAACTATACAAGGTATTTGGGTTCATCTACTTTGTGTAGTTCTTGGTTATTAACGAGGATTCTGAGGGCTTGCTGTGAAATCCGTCCTGGCGTAAAATTTCTGATTGCTACTTGCGAATCACTCCGTATGAATGAGTGTTTGTTGGATGTGATAGCCATGGCTACGGCTACCTCCTCAGCCTCCTCTATATTGCTTGTTATGACAGAGCACGAATTAGTACAAATGCCGGACGTGTAAATCACGACAGCAGTGTTAGCTTTTTGTTCAGGGTACGGGCTAGCATCTACAAAAAGAGATTTACTCTTCGTGCCGTGTGCTTTGAGCAGTGCTTGTGCTCGGTGTTTTTCTGCGGTCCGTGTTGATAATGGGGTTCATGTTTTTCAGTATCGGGTTAGAGACAATCTTAGCTTTGATTGTATTGGGGATGTCATGTTTGACACCATGTTGTGCATGGTACACGATTCCTAATCTACTCATTACATTTCTTCGCGTTTTAGTTTTAGTGAGCCTTTCAAGCTGGGATATCCGCTGAGCTTCTATAATCTCTTCAAGCATATTGTGTAGTCCTAGCTGAAGAAAAAGGTCTGTGCTAGCATACTCAGGTATTCCTATCGCTTGTTTGTAGACCTTCCAGATGAGTGCACTCATTTTGTTAGTTTCAGATTTTTGCCGGTTGTGGTATGCTGCTACATACGTTATGTGAGTTATGGCAAAGGCCTGGATTAGATGAATTACTTGGGCTTCTTTCATACCTTGGTGTTTATAATAATAATAATAATAATAATAATAATAATAATAATAATAATAATAATAATAATAATAATAATAATAATAATAATATGTAAGATTTTACATCCCAAATTGAGGATATTATTATGAGACACGCTGTTGTGGAGGACTATATAAATTTTGACCATCTGGAGTTCTTTAGTGTGTACTGGCATCACACAGTACACGGGCGTCTACCATTTTGCCTTCACTGAAATGCGATTTCCGTGGCCGGGATTGAACCCGCCACCTTCAGGCCAACAGCCGAGAATCATAAATACTGCTCAACCACAGCGGAATGACAAAGTCAGACTTGACAGAGAAATGTCTTAACTGTAAATATTCGGAAATGTCCTTGGTGAGCATATACACATCTAGTGTTTCATGCTGATATCAATAAGACGCATTTTTCATCTACGCTACTATGTTGTATCTTGTAATGCATTAGTATATGTTTTATACAAGTGCATGCTCAACTCCACGCAGTTTGATCGCTTGACTAATTCCACAAAACATGGCCATTGGCAGCTAGAACGCCTTTCTTCAACACTTCCTATGAATGAAAGCTGTAAAGAAAGTTGCACTGCATAGCTAGTCGAAACAATGTAAAATTGAGCGTGGCGACGTACCTGGATGAACCGTTTGAGCGCAGTGTGAATGCTCCGGGACGGGTTGATTTCACAGGTAGGCAAATGAGCAACACCCTTCTCAGACACAAGAACATGGAGCAGGTTGCTGCACAAACATAAACCATCACAAATAAGCGTCAGCCTTCGCTGTTTGCTGCACTCATCGCCCTGTTTTGTGCTACTAGTGTAAGTGCTGTCAATATGGGTCCATGTTGCATAAAGTACACAATGCCAGCTTTCTGTGCTAAGCAGGTGAGTACTAAAATGTTTCAGTTTTGTCTGCGAGTTACACACTAACATGAAATTGCAATAATTTTGAGAACTATGGATGTTGTGAAACAATTAAAAGAGACGCAGTGTTAAAATCCAGAAGGAACATCCAAAATACAAAATGCCTATGTTAAAAAACATTGGATAGTTTTAATTGACTTGCAAAGCACCACAAGTGGAAAAATAAAGAAGTGGGCAATGATGAAGCTTATGCAAAGCCAATTCAAAAAGTAAAAAAAAGTTACGATTGCCTCTTCAGGTTTATTCACTAATTGCTGCGACATAAGACTACATTTTAAGCAGCACAAGTCTTCCCAAGCTTCTTTACAGCTACTGTGCCTTTCCAATCTTTCTTTCCGTCAGGTTTGATTATCCAACAATCAATGTTAAATAGACATTATGCCTATGAAGCATACATTATGCCTATAAACATTTTACAGCTGATTGGTCTATGAAAACTGAATGGTTCCTGCATGGCAGAACCTTTATCAAGCAAAATCTTCAGCTCCAGCCCACTGTTGCTTCTCTTTTCACCACTAGATTTTCAACTCTTATTCATTTCCTTTCATTTCAGCCTCTGTACCAATACAAATTAAACAGACCTGAAGAAGGCAAGTGGATATTTCAGAGGCACACAACATTATTTCTAACAAATTACAGAAAACAGTCATAATATCCAGGGTGACTATTTATTTTGAGCTCTGTCCTATTATTTACAGTGTATTGCATTCACAAACAACAGCCTCACAGATAAACAGTTACTACTCTCACATCTCCCATATCAGGAAATCTGCAGAGCTGGCAGTCATATACCTGTGCTTTTAATTTTACATATATGCCACAGAAGGGCACTAAAGTAAGCCTTCAGTTTTTGCTAAGACTCGCAAGCCAGAATTATTAGTTGATATTATGCTCAAGTTGAGAAAGACACACCTTAGGAGTTGCAAGAAATAGTTGTGTTTAAACTATCTATGAGATTTGGTGTAAAAAATTGATTATGTTATAGGACAGAATTTTTATTTATTTTTTGTTGTATACTTGCAGCTGAGGATTCTGCGAAGTACATTTGACCCTGCTTTCAAATTATAATCTGAAAAGATTGTTTTTAAGCAAGCAGGACCAAGACCAGAAATTTATTGAGACAACTGAACTGCTTCCGACACTCTCTACTGGGTTTACACACTAACCAGCATATGTTGCAAAATGCTCATGTAACAATGGGTAGTATTTTGTACTAAGTAGAGGTTATCATTGTGCTTCAGGATTGTGATGACACGGCCTGATCATCTCAAAACATTACCCATGGGGAAATGTGCATGGGCTGCGGTATATTTGTTTACCTAGCCAGTGCATCGCACCTCTCATACCATGCTTCCTCACTGCACCGCCCTGACATGAGCAACACGTGGAGGAAGCCTTGCCTGACAGTTGGCTGCACGCCAATGACCTTTGCTGCCAAGAGGGGCGAGAAAGCCGAGCAAAACACCGAAACCAGCCAAAGTTGTTTGTTCTATAAACCCAGTGACTCCCTTATTACAACGCTAATTCGCAAAATGCTTGCAACAGCATATTCACATCGAAAAAGTGTGCAGTTATCTCTCCATTACAAAATCTGGACTGCACGGTTGTGTCCTGGCCCTTTAAATGTAACATAATGTTGTGCCAAGCAGCTTGCTGCACAACGGTGTAAATAAGTTCAAAACATGATCAGCAGGATATATTGAGCCGGCAGTTGCCCAAATATGACGAAAATTGCCTCTGCAACCATGGTTTCAGGATCTAAAGTAGTATGAGCAAAGGGTGTACTTGTATACTAACTTGGCCTTCTTGCGAATGATGGTGACCAGGCGCAGGCAAAGCTTTGAGTGTGGCCTCAGGGCTGGCATGACAGGTGGATGCCATGGCTGGCTGCCTTGTGTACTGTGGTAAAGGCGGGCACGTTCGATAACGGGCAAGATGTCCCTGCAGCGCAGGCTTAGCTGTTCCACATCCCCGACCCAGGCTGCTTGCAGTGACTCAGAGTCTGCCTTTGACACCGTCTTCAGCTCTCCTCCTGCAAATAGAAAAGAGTAGTATTTATTACAATAATGCTATCTTTTAATAGCATCATCTTAAGCAAACACGAGCCTCACAGCACTATGCATCTTAATCACAAACATGTTGAACAGAGCATTTGACGAACCCTATAAGACAGAGATCTTAAGCATGCGGCCTGCAGTAATGTTTATAGATGCTTTTTCAGTTTCAAAACTCTCCACTTCGCCTTTGGGGAGCAGGCAGCCGGCTGCAGTTCCCGCCACCACTGCGCTGCAGGCCAACTTTACGCCAACTAAACAAGGGTTCTGCTGATCACGTTTTGAACTTCTGCAGTAGCAGCACTGGCCGGACGGTGGGGAGAAGCGGTGTATTTAGGGGATTTTCCTCTACCCACTGGTGCGCCCGGTCACAAAACACATCGTTATGATGTCCGGAGGGTCTGAGGGCGCACAGTATAGCAGCAACAGAAGAATTAACCTCGGGAGACGTACACACGTACTCGATGTGTCCACATGTGGTCAATGCTTAGATCGCGCACGGAATGTCAACAATCGGAGAGTTTCCTACGCCGTGGATGTCTTCGTGACTTTAGGCATCAAATTGTCTTCAGAAGATCGTGGAAGCATGACATGCGACGAGACATACACACAGAAAAAAAGTGCGACCGAACACCAGCACGAAACGCACGAAACTGCAGTCGCAGTGAAGCCAGTGGGAAGCAGCCGGTTACTTGGCGTAAAGTTAGACTGCAGCGCCCTCACACTCCCTTGGAGCAAATCGCGGCCACCTTGAAGGGAGGAGTTTGAAAACTGAAAAAGTATCTATAAACGTGAGCCTGCAGGTTGTATGCAGCCTGCCAACCTTTTGCTAGCGGACCGCGGCCGGCACATGAGAGTCATCGTCCTATACTCTTTTATGACTTCGTTGCTGGTTGTGACATTACTAAATGGAGCTCGCATTATATTTTCCCCTGTCATAAATAATAACACATTGTTTGGGTAAGCAACACAGACGTGCTTGGTTTTAAGCATTTTTTTTTTAGGCACCTCGTGCAGTTACCAGTTGTTCAAACATCCCTGCAAAACAAAATCTCTACATTTGAGTCCAGATTTTAGTTATTGTATAGATCGGTATCGAAATGTTTACGAATTAAGTACATGTCAGAAATTATCCATATACGAGATATGGGAAAGGCCTTCTTTCAACAATAGGTTTCTTTTGTTCAAGCTCGCCTCTCTACCCCTCAATTTCCAGATTTTTGCTGCCTAGGACCACTGAAAAACTAAATTCATGATTGCAGCCAGTACCTCATGTGAGTTTGAGTCCCCTGCTATGGAATATGCAGTGTTCATCTCGCAAAGACTGTCCATATTTTCACTCAACACAGCCATCTTTAAAACATAAAGAAAAAGAACGACTAGCACAATTTAACAGTCCTTGAGCGAGAAGCAAAGAAAGCACTGCACTTATTGCCCATCTTCTAATGTTATCCATACACGCACAACTTTGAGCACTTCAGTTTAAACTTGATCAACCAAAGTACTGTCCTTACTTGAAGTATTTCGCTGAATAGAAAAGTTCATAATATCAAGAAAGAAATTTCTTCACTCTCAGAAATTTAAAATTGCAATGTATAGGGACACTCAATAACTACCATGGCATTATATTTGCCACTAACCCATGTTTTATTTCCCAACATATACTTGCCCTTAAGGCATATTATTTTTATTTTGTTGCATGTACATGTGTTAAATGTGTACCGTTACACAGGTGTTGTGTATGAAGTAGAGTGGTGTCTTGCACAATGTGTTATCATGTATCCAGCAGTCGTAATGGTTGTGTCGCTGCGCATATGAAAAATGCATGAGGACAGCTCAGACATGGAGTCTTCCAAGCACAGGCAATGCAGACCCAGTAAACCATCACATGAAGGTATTATAGGATGCCAACGTGCGAAGACAGCGTGAACAAAAGCATTAAATGTGCGAGCAGACTGAGAAAAAAAGTTGCACGGATATAATAAATGCCATCTGTTGCACGAACCATGAAAGAATGAAAGCAAACACCATAGTGTTTCTTTGGAAGCATTTGCAGCAACGATAAACCATGGTGGCCCCTAGCACCACATCGTCCATTAATGCACTACCGACCGTCGAGTCTATTTCTTCATGCATGAATGCAGCATGTAGCCTCATCAAAATAAAACTATGCACACGACAAGAGCATCTATATATTTCAACACAAGGGCAATGGAACGCACAATCGAATAAAAATCCCCCTCTATTAAAATTACGAAGAAATAACCATTCCGCTAACTAATTTATTTGAGAAAAAACTTCCCTATATCTGGTTTGAAGTCGAGTTAGTATCGCTAATTCTGGTCGATGACAACATTCAACTTCATGAGTCGTTATGGGGAATGGAAAGTTCTTTGTTAGATAGGAACCTTTGTAAAATTGAGTTTCATCAGGTTGAAACTTCGAACCTAAAACTATGTGTCATCAACCATCGTTTAACCAGCCATTCTGCTAAATTCAGAGCACTGCTCAAGCAAAGGCAATCTTCTTAGGTGCTTGTACTGAGTAAAGCATTCAGAGTGAGAACATCAAGCTATACAGACGCACTAGATGGCTATTTCTTGATGAAAACAATAGGCCATCTTTTTGAAGGGCAAAGCTCTTTAGGGTGTGGGTCTTTCACTTCTCCGTGTGTATGAAGTAGTACGTAGCCACTGGTGGAACATACCCACTCTATAGTGGGTATGTGCCACAGGGGATGCGAGATGGTGGTACTTGGAGTGTTCACTAGATGGACGGACAGACGGGCGGACGGACAAACTAGCAGACGGATGCATGGATGAACGGACGGAAGCACGGACTGGCTGAAGCACGCTTCGCCCCACTCATCATCATTCACTCCATGGATATGCTGTGATTTGTTTGTACACCATGATGGTGTAATGGTCATGGTGCTCCACTGCCGACCCAAAGGTCGTGGGCGCTTTTTCGATGGAGGCAAAGTTTTGGAGGCCCATGTAGTGTGCGATGTCAGTACACATTAAAGAACACCAGATGGCCGAAATTTTCAGAACCCTCTACTTTGGTGTCCTTCATAATGATTTCACAGTTTTGGCACGTAAAACCTACATATTATGATTAAGGGGCCATCTTTCCATCACAAAGATTTGTGTCTGCTCACTGTTTCTCTTCCCCCACCCCTATACCAATCCACTATACTACCAGTGAGGTACGGCAAATGCTCTATTTTCTGCACCCTGAAGAAGAAGCACACAACAATAAGCAACAATAACGTTGTGCATTCTTTACCATTAATGCGATTTACAAGAAATGCCCATTGCTATCAGATGACCGTGGTGAGAAGAAGCTCTGTGTGAAAAAGATTGTCGTAGAGAACTCCTTTTTTGTTGTTGTTTAAGGTTGCAAGTATTGATACAATAACGTCAGTTCAGTGGCTTAACTGCCTCACTTAAAGTGAACTTCTAAGTATCTTCAAACAGCTGTAGACGAAAAACAAAGGTTCACACTCACCGACTACTGTGCCAATGAAAACAAATCTGTACCACTGGCCCTGTGCAGTCTCAACCATCAGAAGTGTAGAAGGGTCGAAATCTAGGCCAGTTTCTTCCATCACTTCTCGCTTGGCAGCCTCCTAAATGAGGATTGGGGCATGTGTCAAAGATCACGAAAGTAACTCGTATCACGGTGAAATAAGCGCTCGTGTTTCATATAGAGTTCGATCAGCATTGGGCCAAGTTCCTACTCAGCACGACTCGAGGCATGTTTCAATGCAGTACTGGCGTCGCACGGTTACTTTCGACCACGATTGAGTCCTATCCGAACCGAATGCGGAAGCCACGGCAGTGAACTAATTACTTTCGGGAATCGCAATACCTATGGGCTTTATCGCGGTCTAAAGTACCCCTTGCGACACCGCTACATCATATTCAAGCGATGTACCAACACTGCGTTCGATTTGCAGCGACTCGCGCTGAAGGGGCCAACGTGGCATGGGCTTTAAAACAAAACTTTGAGCTTGATTAAGAACAGGACACAACTTACAATGATGTTTTCTCCGGGCTCCATTCGTCCAGCAGGCAGGTACCACGTGCCTGCGCATGAACTTTTCGCTTCTTGCATCATAAGTACGTCGCCTTTTTCGCTGATGGCGACCGCTGCGACGATGTAAGTCACCGATTTCTTGACGACTGGTTTGTAGTCAGGTAGCACGGCTGACTCTATTCCCTTAGCAGCTGGAAAGGAAGAAGACACAGTCGTTGCGAATGTTCAAACCGCGAATGAGAGCACCATGCATGTGATCACCTGCTAAAGCATGCTGGAATGTCAAGTTCCTCGTGTGAGTGGCACAGCACCGGCAAAAATCGAGTTTCGCGGACATTAACCGCAACTGTCACTTTGTTTACTTGAATTCTACCGTTAAATAGCAATGTAGCGCATACAAATTCAGCCTATCTATTAGATACAAGACATCATCTACACTGTAACATGCGAAGCAATAGACATCCGAAACACAGCGACCGCACGGTGACAGCCAACTCACCAAGCTCTTCAACTTGATCGGCGAGGCTGTAGTCGATGATAGCAGCTGCATCGTCGTTTATAGCCTGACCTTTCAGCGTGTCCTGTATTACGCTTTCTATTTTGTCCATCTTCAGCGAGTTTTACTCGAAAATTCTAACCAATTAAGACTGTTCACGTACGCCCAAGGCATCCATGTACCCTCCGCTCACGAGTTACTTTTTGTTTTGGTATAAGAAATGCTGGCGATGATGACGATGCCGCGTTGGCAAGATAAGAATGTAAAGTTTCTTTGCAGAATTATTTACACCATGTTTTTAATACTTCACGACACAACAAATTATGTTATATAAGCGTATAATTTATATAACATGCTATATATTAGTCAAAATTTACAAATACAAAAGGAAAAAATGTGGACATGTTCGTAAACCGAAACCAGATTATGTTCGCGGGATTTTTAAATAGCAGCTCAGGATTGTCTTCGCATAGAACACCGCGGTCTTGAAATATGTAGTAATTTTCTTTCGTGATAAGATGAAGATGGGACTTGTGCACACCGAGGATCATTGTGTCGTTCTAGAATCGCTTAAAAGCGGTCGAAGTAGTTGAGGTCTAACAAGGTAAAAAAACATGGCAGTCCCTTCCACTGTAGTGCTACTTCTCAGTGGCGGAGCCAAAGAACATTTTTTTCGCCAAAGGGCGGCGTGGTAATTATCTGTGTGACATCCCTGGTCACCCCTAATGACACCCCTAACACTCTCCACATGAATAAGAAAGAAGGATACGGATACAGAATAACAGATCTAGAGAACTTTATTGGAAAACGTCCTAAGAGTTAAACTTTGGGCCGTTCAGAGGGCCCAGGACGTGGTGGTCAGGTTCGGCCATTCTGCCCTTACGTGGAAGAAGTAAGAAATGCAAAAATAGAGAGAGATAATACTGATGATCAAATATCAAGTAATACTATGCGATAAGTACCACCTGTCGATAAATTCCACGTCAAGCACTTTAACAGTGCCCTTCCAGGAGCGCATCCAAGGGGTGCAAGACAATGCTTGTATCACTCCCGAAATTCATGCTTACCAAAGGATACGCCACGTAAGGCCCGAACTCCATAAGCGCGAAAATGCACGCGACAGCGACGAGCGACGCGACGTAGATCGGCGTCGCGCGATCAGTCGCTAGCGCAGGCAAACCTCATTCACGCGACGGCTTCGGCGAGCGAATTCCACTGTTGCTGGCATGAGGCCGTCAACTCGCACCAAGAAAACCGCGTAGCGAGCGGTTTCCAATTTAAAAATAAGATATATTGTTGTGTAATGAAACGGAAAGTGTTTATTATTGCCTTGCAGCATTTTTTATATGCGCATGCGTAATAAACATTACGTTATTTCTTGTTGCGCATACGTGACTCGGGCAGGGTCACGTGCACCTATGTAGTTTTTGTCTTTTCCGGTTTTTCGCTATTGGCTGCTTGAGCCCAGCACTTCCGGGCGATGAGCGACGGTTTCCAAATCTGGAGAACCGAGCGATCGCGCGAAAACGAGCACGCGACACGTCGCGCGAACGCCCTGTTTCGTCGCTCATAGCGTCGCTCGTCGCTGTCGCGTGCATTTTCGCGCTTATGGAGTTTGGGCTTAAAACGCCACTCGACCACATCAGTCACGAATCGGGCCCACTTCATGGACAAGGACGTGCCCAAAACCCGAGGAAAAAGAAAAGAAAGAGTCACTGTCTACGTTACCGCCTTTTCCAAACGCTCTACACTTATATACAAAGAACTACAACGTATATGCATGTAGCGTACTATTTTAAAAACACGAATGCAGATAGCTTGTAAATATGTACTATAGATTTAGAACGTGTAGCTAATAGAATCCTATAGAAGCCGCCACATAAGCAACCATTCCAGCTTAACCGCAAGGGTTCTGAAACAAATTTAGGACAGCTTCATAGGACAGCATCATAGGCGTGCGCACAGGGGAAGGGGGGGGGGGGCAGCCCCTCCTGGTCAACTAAGAGGGGGGACGAAAAATCGGCCCTATATGTTGAGAAATAGAAAGAGGGCACTGCACCTCGGGGGGGGGGGGGGGGGGTTATCAGCCCCATTTATTGACTTCGCCCCCCCCCCCGTAAAGGGGAAACCTGCGTAGACCTACGCCCGGCATCCTTCACAACGTTCCTACAAGCCGTGGTGCTCAAGCGGTGTTATAATGACCAACTACTGACATGAAGATAATTGGATCGAGTCCCGCGGCGGCGACCTCATTTAGACGGATGTCAAATGGTTGGGTTCCTTGTTCTTATATATTCAAGTACCCGTTTAAAAATACCAGATGGTCGAAATTTCCGAAGCCCTCCACTACGGCGCCTCTCAAAGTCATGTCGTAATTTTGGGCTCTTAAGCACCAACAATGATTATTATTATTCCCAATTTCCTAAGAGAGCTGGTGTTTAGACAAAGCATCTTTTCGCCGTAAGTTTACCCATGAGCAAGCACGCGGTACGATATGCTGGCGCAGTTATATGACAGGACGCATATAACTGGACGAATACACAAACAAGTGAGCTACCAAAAAAAAAAGCCAATTTCCAATATTTGATTCAAACACGCCGCTCATCAGATGATGTACTCCTATACCTTTAAACTATGCAAAATCACTCTATTAGAATTCTTACTCACAGTCATTATCGCAGTGATGCTAAAGCACTCCTGCATGCCAACAACATCCTAACAGTCGAGAACACTTTCAAATATAATCTAGGCATACAATTTTTCAAGCAAATAAAAAATCACCTTCTTTTGCGTATAATCCCTCCATATATTCTAGAGAATACAACCTTGACAAGGTTTGCACAAAGTCACAATTTTATCTTACCTATAGTTCATACTAACTATGGCAAACAAACAGCCCACTTCACTGGAATCCATCCCTGGAATACTATACCTTCAGGAATAAAAGCCTCGGAATCAATCAGCATATTCAAAAAGATATGAAGACTTTCCTCTCATCCATTCCATTATCTGGATAGCTTTGGTGACTTCTGTTACTCCCGCTCCCTTTCATGCTTTCTCACAACCTAACGTTAACAAAGCATCACATCATCATCCTACATTGCTGATATCAGATGTCACTGTTTAGTTTTCTTTTCTCGTAGTGTATTTTTACTATCTTTCACCATGGTAATTATCTGAAAACTACTTAGGAGAGCTGAATTACCTTTATTTTTTATGTTGTCTCATTTCAGTTTTTGTTGCTGCTCTCTGCTAATGTTTTTCTTAACTCCTTTTTCATTTTTACCTGCGATGTATTTCATTACCTGTTTTCTGTACCACTGTTTCCTGAATCAATTAATTTTTTCTAGATTCACTACTGTAGGAGGTCCCGATTCAGTCTCTGACTATGGGACCTCCTTCTGTATACACAAATTTTTGTAACTTATTCGAGGACAAAATAAATAAAACCATTTCTTCTTGTTTCTTTAAGCTATTGAGGGATCAACCATGCCTAAATTAACCTCCCGATTCAAGTCAAGTCTAGTCAAGATCCTTGACAATGTGGCGCTTGAATCACAATAATGACTTCTTTTTCCTTTCCCCATAAATGTGCACAGTTAATTAGCACGGACTTTACACGGGCTCTCTAAAAGAAAAAAAACAGAAAACAGGACAACTGCGTACACCTCGGAGAGGTCAAATATTGTCTTTTGATAGGTCAGATAGGTTTTAATATCCTGCCGCCTGGTTCCTTTGTGGGTGAACGCTATAAATCAAACGATCTTAATTATAACATGCCACAATATGCGAACCAATCTGTAGCACAAAGCACTCAATAAAGTTCAAGAAATCACGAACAGGCGGCTTCACATGCATACGTGTGTATACCTATGCCCGACCCTCTTGCACAAAATCTTACCGGCCGTGAACCCTTTGCAAATATTCAGCTACAGTCTTTCTCACATGCTCTGGGGTTGGCCCCTGGCACTGGAGGCCACGGCCACCTATAGGAAGAGTGAGACCGAGCTTTGCGCAGCTCGAACAATGAAACACACCTCTGGGCTGTTCGTCGGTTCCACGACGCGGTGGAAGGACATTGGCTCTCTGTCCCGACGTGGGAGCGGCTCGCTATAATCGCGAGCATTGAAGCATAAAGTTTATAGGAAACTCTACACATTGAAAAAACTGAATAAGGTTATTCATCAGTTCATCAAGCGCACGTGCAGGTCATGCCTCAATTTTGTTGGTCGGTTGGTTCTAGAACAGTTTGGCGCGACCGCACTCCGGAAGATACGAATCGGACGGTGTCTTGCTTGTTAAACTAATTCACTTCTTGAAGGAAAGAGTTGAATTCATCGGGTATTACAGCTAATAATTTAAAATTGTGCGCGAACGAAAGGTCAGGCAAGGTCTTGACGTCCCCACGCGGGAGACCTAAGGCCCGGTCGGCGAAAGCTCTGCCGGACTTCCAATAAAGTTGTTACCAACCAACCAAACCAACCAAACCAACCAAACCAACCAAACTAAACCAACCAAACCAACCAAACCAACCAAACCCAAAGCCAACCAAACCCAATCAAACCAAACCAAACCAAACCCAAACCAAACCAAACCCAAACCAAACCCAACCAAACCAAACCAAACCAAACCCAACCAAACCCAAACCAAACCAAACCCAAACCCAACCCAACCAAACCCAACCCAACCAAACCAAACCAAACCCGACCAAACCCGACCGACCAACCGACCGACCGATGACCGACCGACCGACCAACGAAAGCACGTTCTCGCCTCGTGCCACGCGTCATCGCGTGCACGTACGTCGGCTGCAGGCAGGCGCACCTTTCCCAAGCGAAGAAATGGAGCACCGTCGGCGTGTTGGCAGCCGTTCGCCGCCAGCGGATACGGAGTCTCACGGATCTGCATCATGGTCGGACACCTCGATGAAGTCTAAAAGACAACGTACCAAGTCTGCCCTTCAACGTGAGAAGAAAGCAGCAGGCGAGTGACGCGTGATTTACTGCACAACCATTGCACAGCATCAAGGGGAGGACCCAGCGACTCATTTTAGGGGGAGGGGGGGACCTGACGTTTTTTTTTTTTTTAGTAGCACGAAAACCCCGTCATAGCATAAATACTGTTATTTTTTGTACTCACAGTATGGTATGGCATGGATAGCTTTATTTTTGTGCTCACAGTGGTACCACTCAGT